ACTGAATAGTACTCCATTGTGTAAATGTGCCACAGTTTCTCTATCCATTCTTCAGTTGAGGGGCATTTAGGTTGCTTCCAGATTCTGGCTGTTAGAAACAATGCTGCTATGAACATAGTAGAACAGATGTCCTTGTTGTATGAATGCACATCTTTTGAGTATATGCCTGAGAGTGGAATTGCTGAGTCTTGTGGTAGACTGATTCCCATTTTCCTGAGGAATCTCCATACTGATTTCCAAAGTGGCTGTACGAATTTGGCACTCCCACCAGCAGGGGAGGAATGTTCCCCTTTTTCCACATCCTCTCCAGCATAAGCTGTCATTTGTGTTTTTGATTTTAGCCATTCTGACATGAATAAGATGGTATCTCACAGTTGTTTTGATTCACATTTCCCTGATGGCCAAGGATGTTGAGTTCTTTAAATGTCTATCAGCCGTTTTAGACCTCTCTATTGAGAATTCACTATTTAGTTCTGTACCCTACTTTTTAATTGGATCATTTGGTATTTTGGAGTCTTGCTTCTTGAGTTCTTTGTAAATTTTGGAGATCAGCCCTCTGTCAGATGTGGGGTTGGTGAATATCTTCCCATTCTGTGGACTGCCTTTTTGTCTTGTTGACTGTGTCCTTTGCCTTACAGAAGCTTCTCAGTTTCAGGAGGTCCCATGTATTAATTGTTGACCTCAGTGTCTGTGCTATTGGTGTTATGTTCAGGAAGCAGTCTCCTGTACTAATTTGTTCAAGAGTACCTCCCACTTTCTCTACTAAGAGGTTCAGAGTGGCTGGATTTATGTTGAGGTCTTTGATCCATTTGGACTTAAGTTTTGTGCATGGCAATAGACATGGATCTATCTGCAGTCTTCTACATGTACATGCCAGGATCCAGTTATGCCAGCACCATTTATCGAAGATGCTTTCTTTTTTCCACTGTATAATTTTAGCTTCTTTGTCAAAAATCAGATGTTCATAGATGTGTGGGTTAATATCAGTGTTTTCAACTCAATTAAATTGGTCTGCCTGTCTATTTTTGTGCCAATACCAAGCTGTTTTCAGGACTATAGGTCTATAATAGAGCTTGAAGTCAAGGATGGTGATGCCTCCAGAAGTTCTTTTATTGTACAGGGTTGTTTTGGCTATCCTGGATCTTTGTTTTTCCATTTAAAGTTGATTATTGTTCTTTCAAAGTCTGTGAAGAATTGTGCCCGTATTTTGATGGGGATTGCATTGAATCTGTAGATTGCTTTTGGCAAGATTGCCAGTTTTACTATGTTGATCCTATCTATCCAAGAGCATGGGAGATCTTTCCATTTTCTGGCATATTCTTTAATTTCTTTCTTTAAAGACTCAAAGTTCTTGCTATACAGTTAGCATTACCCCCAAGATATTTTATGTTGTTTGTGGCTATTGTAAATGGTGATATTTCTCTGATTTCTTTCTCAGCCCATTTATCATCTGTATATATGGGCTACTGATTTTTTTGAGTTAATCTTGTATCCTGCCACTTTGTTGAAGGTGTTTATCAGCTGTAGGAGTTCCCTGGTAGAGTTTTTCGGGTCACTTATGTAAACTATCATATCATCTGCCAATAGTGAAAGTTTGAATTCTTCCTTCCCAATTTGTATCCCCTTGATCTACTTTTGTTGACTTATTGCTCTAGCTAGAATTTCAAGTACAATATTGAAGAGATATGGGGAGAGTGGACAGCCTTGTCTTGTTCTTGATTTTAGAGGAATTGTATTGAGTTTCTCTCCATTTAGTTTGATGTTGACTGTTGGTTTACTGTATGTTGCTTTTATTATGCTCGGGTATGTTCCAGTTATCCCTGATCTCTCCAAGACCTTTATCATGAAGGGGTGTTGGATTTTGTCAAAGGTTTTTTTCAGCATCTAGTGAGATAATCATGTGGTTTTTCTTTTGCAGTTTGTTTTTATGGTGGATTATATGGATAGATTTTCATATGTTAAACCATCCCTGCATCCCTGGGATGAAGCATACTTGATCATGGTGGATGATTTTTGCTGTGTTCTTGGATTCGTTTTGCCAGTATTTTATTGAGTATTTTTGCATCAATGTTCATGAGGGATATTGGTCTGTAGTTCTCTTTCTTAGCTGTGTCTATGTGTGGCTTGGGTACCAAGGTAATTGTAGCCTCATAAAAAGAGTTTGACAATGAACCTTCTGCTTCTATTGTATGGAACACTTTGAGGAGTATTGGTATTAACTTTTCTTTGAATTTCTGGTAGGATTCTGCACTGAAGACATCTGTCCCTGGGTAAATGATATCTATCCAGAAAATTGTCCATTTCCTTTAAATTTTTGAATTTTGTGGAGTACAGGTTTTCAAAGTATGACTTGAAGATTCTCTGGATTTCCTTAGTGTCTATTGTTATGCCCCCCCTTTCATTTCTGATTTGGTTAATTTGCATGTTCTCTCTCTGCCTTTTGGTTAGTTTGGATAAATGTTTGTCTATCTTGTTGATTTTCTCAAAGAACTAACTCTTTGTCACATTGATTCTTTGTATTGTTTTCTTTGTTTCAACTTTATTGATTTCAGCCCTCAATTTGATTATTTCCTGGTGTCTACTCCTCCTGGGTAAGTTTGCTTCTTTTTGTTCTAGAGCTTTCAGTTGTGCTGTTAATTCCCTAGTGTAACTATTCTCCAGTTTCTTCATGTGAGCACTTAGTGTTATGAACTTTCCTCTTAGTACTGCTTTCAAAGTGTTCCATAAGTTTTGGTATGTTGTGTCTTCATTTTCATTGAATTTTAGGAAGACTAATTTCTTTCTTTATTTCTTCCTTGACCCAGAATGGTGCAAGTGCACATTGTTCAATTTCCATGAGTTGTAGGGTTTCTGCAGTTTGTGTTGTTGTTGAATTCTAACTTTAAAGCATGGTGATCTGATAAGATACAGGGGGTTATTCCAGTTTTATTTTTGAACCTGTTGAGGTTTGCTATGTTGCCAAGCATGTGGTCAATTTTAGAAAAGGTCCCATGTGGCCCTGAGAAGAAGGTATATTCTTTTGTGTTTGGATGGAATGTTCTATAGATGTCTGTTAAATTCAATTGGGTCATAACTTCTGTTAGTTCCTTTGTTTCTTTGTTAAGTTTCTGTCTGGTAGTCCTGTCTAGGGGTGAGAGTGGGGTGTTGAAGTCTCCCACTATAACTGTGTCAGGTCTTATGTGTGATTTGAGTTTTAATAGTGTTTCTTCTACAAACATGGGTGCCTTCGTATTTGGGGCATAGATGTTCAGAATTAAGACTTCTTCCTGATGGATTTTTCCTGTGATGAATATGAAATGATCTTCTTTATGTCTTTTGATTGATTTTAGTTTGAAGTCTAATTTGTTAGATACTAGGATAGCTACACAAGCTTGTTTCTTGGATCCATTTGATTGGAAAATCTTATCTCAACCCTTTACTCCAAGGTGATGTCTGTCTTTGAAGTTGAGGTGTATTTCTTGTATGCAGCAGAAGGATGGATTCTGTCTTCATATCCATTCTGTTAGCCTGTGTCTTTGTATAGGCAAGTTAAGACCATTAATATTGAGGGAAATTAAGGACGATTGAGTTTTAATTCTTGTTTGTTTTTGATTTGTTGTTGGTGGTGGTATTATGTGGATTTACCCTGCTTTTTCTTTTGGCTTTTGGTAAAGTGGGATTATCTATTGCTTATGTTTTTGTGAGTATAGTTAACTTCCTTAGGTTAGAGTTTTCCATCCAGTACTTTCTATAGGGCTGGGTTAGTGGATATGTATTGTTTAAATCTGGTTTTGTTGTGGAATATCTTGTTTACTCCATCTATAGTGATTGAAAGCTTTGCTGGGTATAGTAGTCTAGGCTGGCTTCTGTGATCTCTTAGTGTTTGTAGAATATCTGTCCAGGACCTTCTGGCTTTCAGAGTTTCCATGGAGAAGTCAGGTGTGATTCTGGTAAGTTTGTCTTTATATGTTACTTGGCCTTTTTCCTTTGCTGCTCTTAATATTCTTTCTTTATTCTGCATGTTTGGTGTTTTAAGAGGACTTCCTTTTGTGGTCCACTCTATTTGGTGTTCTGCAGGTTTCTTGTACTTTCATTGGCATGTCTCTCTTTAGGTTGGGAAAGTTTTCTTCTATGACTTTGTTGAATACGTTTTCTGCGCCTTTGCGTTGAGTTTCTTTGCCTTCTATATCTATCATTCTTAGGTTTGACCTGAATATTTTGTGTTAGGGATTTGTTGGACTTAAGATTTTCTTTGGTTGATGAATCTATTTCTCCTAGTGTATCTTCAATGCCTGAGATTCTCTCTTCCATCTCTTATATTCTGTTGGTTATGCTTGCATCTGTATTTCCTGGTCATTTACCCATCTTTTCTAATTCCAGCATTCTCTCAGACTGTGTTTTTTTTTTAATTTTCTCTATTTCAGCTTTCAAACCTTGCACTGTTTGAATTGTTTCTTGCAATTTTTGGTTTGTCTTTTCTTCTATTTCTTTAAAGGATTTTCTCATTTCCTCTTTTAGGGTCTCTAATCATCTTCATGAAGTTGTTGGGTTTTTTTTTAAGATTTATTTATTTATTATGTATACAGTATTCTTGTCTGCATGTATGCCTCCAGGCCAGAAGAGGGCACCAGATCTCATTTTAGGTGGTTGTGAGCCACCATGTGGTTCCTGGGAATTGAACTCAGGACCTCTGGAAAAGCAGTCAGTGCTCTTAACCTCTGAGCCATCTCTCCAACCCCATGAAGTTGTTTTTAAGGTCATTCTCTTTTGCTTCATCTGTGTTGGGATGTTGAGGTCTTGCTGGTGTTGAGTCCCTAGACTCTGGTCACATCATATTGGTTTTTCTGTTATTGAATGTGTTCTTATATTGCTGTCTTCCCATTCCTTATTCTTGTGGGTACAGGTGGGGTCTCTTCTTCTCCTGGTGGGTACAGGTCCAAGGTTCTCTTCCAGTGGGTGCAAGCAGGTCCAGTACACTGATGGGTCTCACGGTGGGTGTAGGCAGGTCTGAGGCACTCCCTTTCCCAGTGGCTGGGAGCTGGATTAGCACAGTGCTGTCAAAAGACTCATGGTTGCTTGGAGTGAGTCAACCTGCCTGCAGTTCCCAGCCTAGGAGATCCCAGAGTGGGCAAGCAGAAGTCTTGCCTGAGATTGGGGCCGGAGGTCACTTCTGCCCTGAGTGGGGGCCGTAGTAGCCCAGTGATCTCAGCAGACTTGCAGGAGTGAGTCAACCTGTCTGAAGTTCCCAAGCCAGGAGATCCCTGGCAATGTATTTTTCTAAAACAAAAGAAACTAGAGGGTAGTGGGGTGATGCCTTTACACCAGGCTGGAGATTATTTTAATGTGGCATTCTAACTTTAGGCCAGTTACAAAGTGGTGCCAAGATTCAAATATACCGCCAGGCGTTGGTGGCGCACGCCTTTAATCCCAGCACTCGGGAGGCAGAGGCAGCTGGATCTCTGTGAGTTCGAGGCCAGGCTGGACCGACAGCCTCCAAAACAGAGAAACCCTGTCTTGTAAAACCAAAAAAAAAAAGATTCAAATATACCCCCACTTAGTGAAAACCATGGAGAGATGAGTACCAGCCACACTGAAAGAAGACCTAGGTTTGGGAAACAGGAGCTCCAATACAGAATATTCTACAAACACTTGGAATGCTATCACTGAGCCATCCAGAAAGCAATGGGTACAAATTGGAAGAAGATGGATGGCTCAGAGTAAGACACACACACCTCCATGAGAAAAAGAAACTCGTTGTTCATACAAATAGTAAATCTTCCTGACAGGCGTGGAGCATTGGGGAGAAATAATCTCAGGCGTATGGAAAACAAGACAAATGGGAAAACACATGACCTTTCAGTCCAGGAGCCTTGGCTGACGGCTCAGTTGTGGAAATGTCTGTACTGTCGCAACACAAGCAGCCACAAGAGAATTCTGCAGAACAACCAGAAAAGCAAAACCAGTAGAAAACTCAACAAAGATCGTGAACGGACTAATTCACAGAAGACAGAAAGCGAGTAAGTTCATGTACACTAATTGAGGAAATTAAAACCACTCCCAACCGGCGCATTGACCAAAGCTTTAACATTCTGAGGAGACAGGTGTTGGAGGTGCAGAGCATCAGAAACACTTATCTTCTACGCCCTGAGTGACTGGCACAGTCCCCTGACCCAGAGGAGCTGAAGATGCTAGCTCAAACACCACGTGCCTATCAGTGCAGGTGGCTATTGACCCTCCTCAGACCCCAGACGGTCCTTCCACCCACACCTTCTGGTAACCTCATTTGTTTTTCTGTTTTGTTTTGTTTTTCTAGGCAGGATTCCTCTTCCTAGCCCTGCCTGTCTTGGAACTCACTCTGTCAACTCACTGAGATCCACCTGCCTCTGCCTCCTGAGTGCTGTGTGCTACCTCAATTTTATTTCACTGAAAAGAAACACAAACCTCAGCATGTCTGCTCAACCCGTGTGCAGACAGACTGCCTCCTCTATCACTACAGGTCACTGTTCGTGATCTAGAAGATGGTAAGCAGGCAAGAGACAAGCAATTCAAACTCTGGAGTGGCAGTCGGCCTTGAAGAGGGAGAACTGAAGATGTGGCCAGAATTCCAATGGTATGTGTTGTTTCTCTGGTAAGGTGGTGCTGTTTCCTGGGGAGCACAGATCTGCCTCCTCCTGTGGACTTCTGAGAGCCAGAGGCTAATGCCACAAAGCCCAGGCAGATGGCAGGATTGGTTGTCACATTGTTGTTTTGTTTTTCGAGTTGGTTTTTCTGTGTAACAGCACTGGCTGTCCTGGCACTCACTCTGTGGACCAGGCTGACCTCACACTCCCAGAGATCCACCTGCCTCTGCCTCCTGAGTGCTGGGATTAAAGGCATTCGCCACCACCGCCCAGATTTGCACAATTTTTAAGATTATTAATCTTATTTTTAAAAATAACAATAAAGCTTGATGGTAAATATGTAGGGACTGGAGAGATGGCTTGGGGATAAGAACACTGACTGCTCTTCGAAAGGACCTGGGTTCAATTCCCAGCACCCACATAACAGCTCACAGCCTCCTGTTACAGGGAATCTATCATCCTTATATAGACACACATGCAGGTAAAACACCAATGCACATAAAATAAGTCTTTAAAAAAACAACACAAGAAACATATACAAGTGCTTAGACACACACATTATTACACATAGAAAATCGTAAAAGTAAAAATCACAAACCATACTATATAAACAAAAGATCTGTAAGTTTAAAAATAAAACAAAGCATGTGAAACAAATATAACTCTAAAAATACCATTAAGTCCATTTTGTGTTGCCCATCTATATGGGGTCTAATCCTTAAGTGTGGTTTGTATACCCAGTGAGACTCCATTGGAAAAAGAACTAAATTTTCCTTTGTGAGTGGTTATCAGTTGGAGGTGGCTTCTGAGTTAGTGACATGGGCCTCTGTCTTCTGCCCCTCTCGGCACTGGGACCCCATGGTTTAGACCTTGTGCTGGTCCTGTGCATGCTGCCGTAGTCTCTGAGTTCTTATGTATCAGTCCTGTTGTGTCTAGAAAGCCGTATCTCCTTGGTGTCCGCCATCCCCTCTGGCTCCTACAACCTTCCTGCCTCCTTTCACAGAGTTCACTGAGCTCTAAGGAGAGAGATTTGATGGAGACATCCCAGTTAGGACTGAGTGCTCCAGAGTCTCTCATTCTCTGCACACTGTCCAGTTGTGAGTCTCTGTATTTGTTCCCTTCTACTGCAGGAGGAAGCTTTTCTGATGATGGCTGAGCAAGTCACTGATCTCTGAGTATAACAGAATGGCATCAGGAGTCATTTTATTGCTCCATTTCTCATTATTATTATCATTATTTGGGTTTTTTGAGACAGGGCTTCTTTATGTAACCTTGGCTGTCCTAGAACTAGCTGTGTAGACTAGACTGGCCTTGAAGTCACAGAGTTCTGCCTACCTCTGCCTCCCAAGTGCCACCGGAACCACCATCACCTGCTGCTCCATTTCTTTGGCAGTACAGTAGTATTTGGATTTCTCCTAGGTCCGTGGCCTATCTTGTCTCTAGGCCACCCAGGTAGTGTCAGGCCTGGGCTCCATCTCATAAGTTAGTGGTTGGTGACTCCTACAACTTTCGTGCCACTGTTGAACCAGCCTATCACATAGACATGTCACCATTGTAGATCTCGGGGTTTGGAGCTGGGTTGATGTATATCTTTCTCATTTGGGAGCATGCAGAGTATGTCCCAGTGCCATGACCATTAGTCAGTAGGGCTGAAGGCTCCAGGTAGGCATCAGCTTGTCTTCTCTCCGTGTTCAGTGAGTTGTACAGGTGTTGTCTTTAGAAATAGGGCCTTACCATCAATTTGTGGAGAGCCACAATTAGCCTTGGCAGTAATCTGAGTTTGGGGTTTTTTTTGTGAGGCCCCTTTGGCCAACAACTCGATTAGATGCAACCCGTTCCTAGCATTGGAGGTTCCATTTGGTGGCAAGAGATGTCTAATTGGGGTTCTCTCTCTCTCTTTCTCTCTCTCTCTCTCTCTCTCTCTCTCTCTCTCTCTCTCTCTCTCTCTCACACACACACACACACACACACACACACACACACACACGGCTCAGCAGTTAAGAGTACTCCCTGCTCTTGCAAAGGATCTAGGTTCAGTTCTCAGTACCTCTTGATAGCTCATAACCATTCTTAACTCCAGCTCCAAGGGCTCAACACCCTTTTCTGACCTCTGTAAACACTACACAGATATGGCACACATACATGCATTCAGGTAAAGCACTCATACACATACATTTTTAAAATTATAAAAAAAAAGAGGACAAGAAAATGGGATGGGGCTGGGCAGTGGTGGCACACGCCTTTAATCCCAGCACTCAGGAGGCAGAGGCAGGTGGATCTATGTGAGTTTGAGACCAGCCTGGTCTACAGAGTCAGTTCTAGGACAGCCTCCAAAGCCACAGAGAAACTCTGCCTTGAAAAACCAAAAAGAAAAAAGAAGAGGAAGAAGAAGAAGAAGAGGAAGAGGAAGAAGTTGGGATGGGTTGGTGGTAAGGGTAGATTTGGGGTGAGTTAGACAGAAGGTTGGGGGATGGAGTATAATAAAATACATTGTATGCACCTATAAACTCAAAAAATTAATACATATATTCAAAAGTTCATACAAACCATGAAGTAAACATTAATCCTAAAGTCTGTAGCTTTTTCAGATTATATTGATTGTGCCAATGGCGTTTGTTATAGCAAAAGAAAATTCAAATCATGTTTTACATTTGGGTGTCTCTCCTCCTTTAGCTTGCATAATCTCTTGGTCATTTATTCTTAATGTGTTGATGTCCTTGATGCATGCAAGATATTTCTGTGGAGAATGATGTCAAAGTGGGTCTATCTAATGTCTTCTCCTGGCTAGACTTAGGTTAGATACTCAACAGGAGCACCACAGAGTGTGCATTGTGTCAGGGAGGATATAGTGCTAATTCCCCCCTTAGGTGGTGGTAAAGTGTTATGTCCCTGTGAATCAGGTTTCTGTGTTACAAAGTTATTAAGTACTTTGAAACTATGTAGATGCTTTATAACCCTTAAAATTTAATCCCAGTGTTATAGTGTTTGTTGTCCTATTATTGATTCTTTTGTGTGTCTCTTCCCCCTCCTGTGGTCCTAAGGATTGAACCTAGGACCTCACACATCTTAGGCAAGCCCTCTGCTACTGAACATGGCCCCATCCCTACTGTTGATTCTTCATTGGGTTAATTGTTATGGTTATATTAATTCAGTGTTAGAATACATAGAATTTCTCACCTACCTTTGAAAGTGAAATATGTTGTTGGGGCTGGAACATTGGCTCAGTGATAACAGTACAAACTGTTCTTGCAGAGGATTCAGAATTCAGTTCCCAGCACCCAGGTTAGATGGCCCACAAACTCTAGGGGTTCTAACACTTCTATCTCGGGTACCTGCACTCATGTGCACATCCACAAAGACACACATACACACACACACACACACACACACACACACACGCCTGCAAACAAGCACAAGCATGCATGTACGCAGGCATACTGTATATGTATCACAGGAGAAAGAAAAAAGAAAATGCTATAACAATTTTGTATTTGTACTTTTGCACTCTTGGAGGTTAGTCTTCAGTGTCAATTCCTTTTTGTTGTTGTTTTGCTTTGTTTGTTTGTTTTGTTTTTCATGACAGGGTTTCTCTCTGTGTAGTCCCGGTTGTCCTGGAACTCTAGGCTGACCTCAGACTCTGCCTCCCAAGTGCTGGGATTAAAGGCATGGGCCACCACCCAGTCAGTGTAAATTCTTAAGAATGAGGTTGCATCCGGGTTGTAGTAGGCCATGTCTTTAATCCCAGCACTTGGGAGGCAGAGGCAGATAGATTTCTAACTTTGAGGCCAGCCTGATCTACAGAACAAGTGTCAGGACAGGCTCCAACACTACGAAGAGAAACCCTGTCTCAAAACAAACAAATAAAAAGAATGAGGTTTAGAAAACTGCACATGCACATTTTAAATATACATTGTGAAAGTGTCCTCCATAAACATAGCAGGGGTTAGAGAAGGATAGCTCACTTGGAAACATGCTTGCCCTGTAGGCATAAGGACCCGAATTTGATCCCAGCACTAACATTCAAAAGCCCGGGTATGGTGGTACACACTTGCAATCACACTTCCGGGAGCTGGAGACAGATTACTAGGGCATACTGGCCGGGCAGCCTAGTTTAATTGGTGAGCCCCTTGGAGCAATGAACAACCTTGTTTCAAGAAAACAAGGTGATGAATTGGGCCTGGTGACCACACACCTTTAATCCCAGTATTCAGCAGGCAAATGTCTAAGTCTAAAGTCAACCTGGTCTACATAGTGGATGCCAGTCCGACAAGGACTACATAGTAAAAACTGTCTCAAATAAAAAACAAAACCAAAAAACAACCCAAAGTGATGGCTCCCGAGAAACCACACATAAATTCACCTCTGGCCTCCACATACGAACACGAGCAAACACACAGTTACACCTGCTTGCATTTCATCAGTTGTAAAGAGTACCTCCTTCCCAGCTTTTGTCAACAAAGTGTGTGGTAATCGTAAGTTTTTGCTCGCCTTATCAGCAAGAAATGGCATCTCTGGTTGCTTTAACTTGTAGTTTTCATTACTGGGGAGAGGCTCCTTCCTGCATGTAAGAGTACAGCATCTTTCCATTTTACGATCCTGTGTGACAACCATTCTTCCACTGGGTTTCTTTCCCATTGTGTGAATTACTTAAGTAGTAGTATAGAAGCTCTTTGTCCACGTACATGTGGCAACTGTTCTCTCCCAGATTTTCTTTTGACTTTATCATGTTCTCTACTGCGTGAAAACTTTCATGTTTATGTATCCAAGCTTGTCTCTCTTAGCTTCATTTGGTTCTGTTATTATTATGCATGCCCTTCTATATCTACATACTAAAGAGGAATTCACTCACTTTCTAAATATGAATAGGTATTTTTATTTGTTTTATTTTGATACAGGTCTTATTGTCTCACCAGGTTGGCCTAGATCTCACCATGTATCCAACCTAACCTCAAAAACCGATCCTGTTGCCTCAGCCTCTCAAGTGCTATGA